ATAGCATAACCAGCGCTGACCCCCCGCTACGCGGGTGTTCAGCGCTGGCCTTCTCCCACCCCCACAATTTGAATTTGGAATTTGAATGCAAAATTTGGCTGAATTCCCGGTCGGCGGGCGTACGGACATTAGAAATTTATATATAGTAGATCAGATTAAAATATATATCGTAATCGAATAGGAATTTCATATTTTATCTGTCTCGAATTTCTATCGAATTTCATAGCCCAATATCTAGCGTAATCTAATAGGATTTTCATAGTGTAATCAGTTCTAACGAACCGGAGAAATATATCACGTAATCGATTACGCTACTAAAACCTCGAAATTTCCCGATTTTCATGCCGTAATCGATTATGCACTCACTTGAGCCCCTCATCGATCAATTGACTGATGGCAATCGGCACGTCAGCAGCCCCGAGATCATGTCTAAATTAAAATTAAAAAATTAAAAGGCAAGAAATCTACCGTAACAGCGCGAATCGCAGCGCATCAGTCCCGGCCCTCGGCAGGCCATTCGGGAAGGCGGCCTTCATATTCTGCTGGGCGACGGCTAAAAATAAAAAATAAATAATATCAATATATAGATAAAGATGAAAAATTAGTAATATATTTTAAAATAGGTTTTTACTTTAATAAATTGTAAATACGGCAAAAATGGTCGTGCTCACCAATTTCCGCGGCGTCCAAATTGCTGTCCTCGAGTCGCTGCAGCATCTTTTCCAGTGAAATTCCGCCAATCACATCCAACGGATCGATCACGTTGCCCAGCGACTAAAAAGTGATATTTATTTTTAGGCTACGGTAACTACAGTATTACCTTGCTCATCTTCCTGCCCTCAGCGTCTCTGACCAATCCATGGAGAAACACGCGGTGAAACGGGACCGTGCCCATCGTCAGACTAAAAAAATCGGTAAAAAAATAGAAAAATCCAGATTTTTTACCTAAATCCTCGAAATAAACCTTTTATAAACCTCGAAAAATGTCAATTTTTGAATTAAAAATTTTCAAATCTTAGAAAGTATGCTAAACGTACTGTATGGTCAATGCAATCATCCTGGCCACCCAGAATCCGATAATATCATGGCCAGTCTCCATCAGATCGATCATTGGCTCTGTGAAACGGGTGGGGTCCATTTGGGTCGAATCACGACACCATCCAGCCGTCACCAGGGGCACCAGCGCAGAACTGAAATTGAAAAAAAAACAATGTAAAATAATAGAGAACAAAACTTTTATACCATAATACAAAAAAACGAAATTTTTAACGTTAATTTTTAAATTTCACTAAACATATTGTTCTAAAAAAATTCAAAAAATCCAATTTAAAGCGACTAAATAGAAATCAATAAATCTTAGAATGAAATATGCTACCTGAACCAGGTATCAAGGACATCGGTCTCGGCCACCAGATCCGATTCTTTGCAGCCAAAATAGCGGGCGGCTAGCTCGGCAGAGTGGGCAATGTGCCAGTCGCTATAAAAAAAACGGTTTGAAAAGCGTCAAATTTTCAATGAAATTCATTTAAAAAATTAATTCAAATTAAAAAATTTTAAATCCCATGTTTACCTGTTCTCTGCGGCAGTTCCCTTGTTTCTCATCTTATAAGCGGGTATTCGATGTCCCCATTCCAGTTGTCGACTCAGACACCACGGCTCAACATTCGACAGCCAATCCACTAGGCGCTGCTTCTGCCCGGTTGGCTGGATTTTTATCTGAAAAAATTACGGATTAAAATACCTAGGGTATAATATACTAAAATTTCTATTCAAACGTCGAAATGCGGCTCTTGTGCATTATCGGGGGCGGGGGGCAACTTTTCCATGGATCCAATTTTTTGAATAAAAATAGCGGAAGTGCTCCCAAAATTTTTCCCTATTCTTAAACGTAACAACTTTAGAAATTTTGGTTCAAAAAAGTGCCAAAAATACCGATTTTACGACCAAAAGGCCCATTTTGGGAAAAATTGCGCCACAAAATTTTTTCAAAGTTTTTAGATAGTTTTTCTGGTTGAAATGATTTTATTTTACTCAAAACACCAGTAAAATAACTCCTATTAATTTTCTAGACATTTCGAAACTTATGTAAAAAATCCCCCCGATAATGCAAAAGCACCGTCAAATTTCGACACCATAAAATTTAAAATAATAAATTTCGTGATTTCTACAGTAAGCCAAAATGCGTTACCTTTCCCTCGTGGATGGCTTTCAACGCATGATGATGTAGGGGAATTGTGTCGAGATACCATTGGCGCATCAAACGCGGCTCGATAATGTCCCCCGAACGGGAGCACACCAAAACCTGAAAAAAAAACACAGGTTGAGATTGAGAAAAACTCCGAACCTGGGCTCCCGGGAAATCCATGACCTTTCCGCCGCGTCGCACCGAGCTCAGGATGTCGATCACCTGCACAAAATGTATTTTACAAAATTAAAAAATCAAAAATGGCGTTTAGAACCAAAAAGCATAAGAGATTTAAAAGTTAAAAACGCATGTAGCATCAAAAATGAAGTTTGAAAGGCCTGGAATTTTGATTTTTCTACTTCTTAAATTAACCAATAAAATTATAAAATCAAAATAACTTAAAGAAATTAAAATTACGACACTTAAAAGCTAAAATAGAGTTTTAAAGACCATTATATAATGTATTTAAAAGAAAAAAAAGCGTAAAAAATTACTTTTTAAACGCCAAATCATGGAATTTTTAAAATAAATTAAAAACGTTTTTCGCTTTTGTAGATCTGAATTTTGAAATGCGCACCTTTTTCCGGGCCTCAAACCGATCGAGCGCATCAAATTCGGCGATTCCCGTGCACATCATCCCCTTCTCATCGATGCATTTTCTAAAAGTATATTTTGTAAAAATTCAGTCGGAATATACTTGGTGGAGTAGTGCTGGAAGGTGCTTGAATTCCGCTGGCATATCTGCCAATCCAATTGATCGTGGCTGGGCGTCAGTTTGACGATGCCTAAAACAATTAATTTTATTGAGATTCAGCCAAAATTCCTAAAGAATCTTTGCTCGCTCGCCCCGCTCCTTCCCTTACCTGTCCCCTTCTCGCGTATCACAGCTGTATCGGCGACGACGGGGATCCGTTTGTCGAGAAGCGGATGCTGCACCATTTCACCGATTAACTAAAATTAATAGAAAATTTAAGTTTAAAAATAAAAATGAGATTTCCAAATCTAATCTAAATTAAATCTAACAAAATTCCAAAAAAATCAAATTGCAAATGATGCAAATGATGAAATTAAAATTTCAAAAATGCCTGATCAAAATCCAGAAATTTACAAAGCTAAATGAATCAATTATAAATTCTTACATGGCTATATCTGGAGTCTTCGGGGTGCACGGCCAGCCCAACATCGGCGAAGCACGTTTCCGGTCGCGTCGTGCCCACCACGATGTTCCTGAAAAATTGAAAAAGTTTCTGATAAACCCGAATTCCCCAAAATCCTTGCTAGGCTGCTCCTTACCATTTTCCACCATGTCCACCGTAGGCGACGGTGACCATCTGACCGGCATCTACCCTTCTTTTCCCTCCAAATCGGTCCGGAATCGAGAGCTGCCCCGCGGGAACACGATCAACTTCCTTAAAAATATATAGAAAACCATATTTAAATTTTAAAGCATAAAATATAAAATGCCCCAGTATTTTAAACTAAAAAACCATTTTAAAATATAGAAAATAAATTTTTAATTATAAAAATCGTTTTAAAATGCAAAATAATCATTTTTAAAATGTAAAAACGCCGATTTTACAATATAAAACCTTACTAAAAATCAAAAATCGAAAAATGCGTATTGAAATTTAACACTGGGATTTTAAAATATTAAATATGCAATTTACAGTATAAAAATATTCCTAAATACCCAGAAAATTATTTTGAAAACAAAAAAATGTTTTCAATTACAGTACCTGATCGGAGAGTGTCGTTTGTAGTTTGGGGCACCAGTGGATGAACCGCTCGCCCTCGTTGATCAGCCCGTCGTTGTGCAGCCGGGAGAATGCCTCGTGCACCGCTGTCGAAAATACCTAAAAAGTTATTTTTACATTTTTTAAGACTTCCTTACCGAATCCATGGTGTAATACTCTTTGGACCAGTCGAGCGTGGCGCCCATCAACTTCAGCTGGTTCCGGATCACTTTATAGTTTCTAAAAAAGGAAATAATACTGAAAAATTAAAAATTACTTAGAGGAGAATGTGTGGCATTTGTCGAGGAAGGATCTGCCGGGGAGATCGACCCTGCGCAGCCCTTCTTTCTTCCACAATTCCCTCTCAACGACGGATTGGGTGGCGATCCCGGCGTGGTCAAAGCCGGGGATCCATTCTACCTAAAATTTGCGTTAAAAAGTAAACTTTTAATAGTGTTTTAATCAATGTAAATCTATTTCACGTAGAAAAATATCTGAAAACTTATCAAAAATTCCAAAATCTCGAAATTTTAGTGGAAAATCGGAAATTTTAGGTGGAAAATCGATAGTTACGGGTATTTTAATGAAAATTTGTAAATTTCAAGGCTAAAAAAAGCAAAAATAGGTTAGAAACTCACGTTCTTTATATTTCAAGCCTAAAATCATCAAAAATATGCCAAAACCTCGAACGTTTTGTAAAAATCGGAATTTTTGAGCGGAAAATCGATAGTTTTGGGTATTTCTAATAAAAATTGTAAATTTTAAGCTTCAAAATAGCAAACCGTTTAGAAAATGCGTTACTTTATATCCCTGCAACCGCTTCTGCCTGGCCACGACATCCTCGACAGTGATTGTGAGGGCGTGGCCCAAATGGAGATGCCCAGTCACATTTGGCGGCGGGAGGACCATTCTAAAAAAGCCATTTTTACAACAGTCTCGAGTTATACCGGAATTTCGGGGCATCATCGGGCGGGCATCTCGTTTTGACGGCACTTATCACCTTTCCGAGGTAGTCGTGGTGCGCGGCGTTGATGTTAAAACTGGAAAACGGTTTTGAAAAGCGTCATTATTGTTGTAAAACATTTAAAATGCTATTTAAAAGTATCTAGAAGAAGGGCCGCCATTCTAGAAACCAAAAAGATCGTTTAAAAGAAATATTTTAGCTTCTAACGCTTAGTATGTCATTTAAAAAGTATCTAGAAGAGAACAAACCACTTTTCAACAAATAAAAAAGCACTTTAGACGCTATTTTTAGCCTTGCAACTTTTAAAATACGATTGAAAAGCCTCTAAAACAGCACGAAATTTTTTTCTAGGATATAAAACGACATTTTAAAAGCATTATTCTAGCTTTTCAAAGTTTAAAAAGCGAATAAAAGTATTTCTCATCAAACGAACCCCTTTTCGACGACCGGCGCCGCCGTGGTGGCTTCATTTCTCGTCGCCACCACCCACAATCTTCGCGTATTCCCGATTTTCCATTGCATTCGGGCACCCAGTCGATCTGGAAAAAGGGCAATACGCCTTTACTCATCCATTCTAAAGGGTATATCCTTTCGGAAATCGATATCTCTGTCAGTATTCGATACTTTTGCATTTTCAGGCCTCAAAAAACCCTTTTGCAAGCACTTTATCAAATTTTACACACGAGAAAGGGGAAATTTCAAATTTCAAAACGATTTGTACACGCAGTAAATGAGCATCGGACGGGCGGAGGAAAGCTGATGACAAAGTGGATGAAACGGAAGGCAGTTTTGGTTATAAAAAGTGAAAATATGTTAGAAAACATAGAAAATAGAGACTAAACATTGCGGCCACTAGTGAATCACGAGAAAATGCACATGGGAAGATCATAAAAACAAATTGAAACATAGAAATGGCATCGAAAATATCAATTCTACAGAGAAAATACACAAATAATCGGAAAGCAATGAGAAAAACGAGAAAATTGAGGTCAACCCGAGAATGGGCCGGATTTCTATAATGCGGCCCATATCTTCGATTCTATAAAGTGGGCATTTGGACTTTTTAGGGTCCACAAACACGAAAAACGATAGAGAAAAGATAGAGAAAAAGAAATGGCTTTTCCGGTGAAGCCTCCAGCATCAGAGCCAATTTTTGGGGAAGAAATAGAATGTATAAAGCGGGGGAAATCGAATCACAGGGCTCACTTGTTCGACTGAGGCGGGAGGATTGACACGGAATCTTTACGGGGACAATTTTAGACTACAAACTATACAAAATACAGGCTTATTTGCGCTTGTAGACCTCGTCAAGCTTGTTCTTGATGACGGCATCCAGCGTCTCCGCACATTTGTAGATGTCGGACGTCTGAAAAGCAGAAAAAACTATTGAAAAACTATGAAAAACTGTTACCTTCTGATGGTACTGCTTGGCGTTGGTGATCATCAACTGCAGGTCGGCATGCAGCTCGATGTGGTTGCTGTAGGCGCCGTTCGACAGCTTTTGCTCGATTTTCGAGAGGTCTAAAGATAAGAAAAGATCAAAACATAAAAATATGCCCACCAATAGGATTCTTGACGACAGTGTCGTAATCCGAGAACTCTTCCGTGTCGATCGAATCGAGGAATGGCCACGCGCTCTGGTGTTGGGACACCGCATCATACAGGTCCCACAGGAAATGCAGCTTTCTGAAGATAGCTTGGTTAATTTGTATTTTTAGGTTAATTCGGAGCTTGTGCATTATACGGGGGGGTTAATTTATGTTATTATAATCTTGGTTTTTACAAAATTTAGTTCCATTCAAAGTGGAAAAATTCTAGGAAAACAGAAAATTCTTAAAATTTAATTTTTAGCCAAAATTTAATTATTTTTATATTTTTTTATGACAGATTACAAACTATAATTCCTACCTCTGCTTCTCATCCATAGGTCCTTGTTGGTGATGTTGTTGTTGCTGCTGTTCCAACCCCTCGGAATCCGTACAGTCTGGGCACAGGAATTTCTCCACCGTCTGCGCTTCACTAAAATAATTAATGGAATAAAAAATAGCTAAATTAAAGCTTACATTTCAGTAATGCCAACGCAAGACGGATGAAACCAATTCGGGCAATTGTCGCAGCCCACGTAGAATCTGAAAAAATCAATAAAAAAACTAATAAAATCTATTTCAACCTAAAATAACCTATCATCTAAAAAATATCAAACCATAAAGTTTGTAATACTTAACGCAAATTTTAATCTAATTCCACTTAAATTTAAAATTTATTTTTAAATTAATTTAAAATATAGCAAAATCTAAAAGATCTAGACAAATCTACTAAATCTCTTTTCAAATTTTAAGTTAAATCAGGCTTCGATTTAAATCTATTTTTAAATAATAAAAAAGCTCTCACTTGGTATCATCATAGGGTGTATGGCAAATACAGTAGAGGGGCTCTTCCTCCTCTTCTTTCCCCTCTTCCTCCTCCTCCTCCCCTCCATCATGGCTCTCCTCTTTCACGTGGATCCGGGCGCGTTCTCGCTCCTAGAAAATACAACATTAAACTTCTTCTTTTTCTGACTAACCATTTGTTCAATTTCCCCTTCAATATCGACTTCTTCATCGTCTGCCCCATCGAGATGTGCGGCTTGTTTGAAGGCCTCTCCCTCCATCTCGCTGTCCTCATTCTCCGGAGCACGACAGTCGTGGCAGATGAATTGGCACAGGCGTTTTGCCTAAAAAAATGTTTATATAAATTAATGTTTTTAAATCATAACTTTTTTTGGCTCTTGCATTATCGGGGGGGGGGGCCCAAATTTTTTGCCAGGATCCAATTTTTAAATATAAATAACGTCAGTCTTTTTAAACAGTTTCCACTATTCCTAAACGTGAAAACTTTACAAATTTTAATTTAAAAACACAAAAAAATAGAATTCTGGACGACAAATGGCCGATTTTTTCCAAAATTGCCCTTTTCATATTTTTAGATAGTTTCAGTTGGGTTTTCCAGTTGAAATCGAGTTTAATTTTGCTAAAAACACGATCAACTAGGGATTTCTGGACCAGTAGTAAAAATTCAGTCCCCCCCGATAATGCAAAAGCACCACTTCTCCATATTTTTAACGTAAAAAACGTACCCTCTTCTCGCTGAGTCCTATACACTTTCCGTGGAACCATTGGCTACACTGGCTGCAGGCCACGTAGAACCTAAAAACAATCGATTACACCATGAAATCGGGCTGATTTGCCTACTTTCTATCATCAAACGGTTGTCGACAAATACAGTGCAGCTCTGTGGGATCGATCATATTCCGCACGTCACTCCCCTCGGCACGCAGCTTTCGGATTCTAAAATAAAAATTAGATTGAAAATCAAGGTTGAGCGTACTTTTCCTCGGCCTCTTTTCTCCTCCTCTCTCCCTCTTCTTTTCTCGGTCTCCCCCTCGATCGTGCTTCGTGGGGTGGGATGTGCATCAGAATTCCACCGCTATCGCTCTCATCATCAGAGCTCACCTAGAAATAGTTATTTTCCTAATTTTAAACTCTCAAATTTCTAATTTTTTATTGTGCTCCTATATTTTCTACTAATCGAAAACAGTTAAAATGACACTTAATTTTTCTAATTTTGCAATCCCTGCTTCCAATTTTGTTTCATACTTATTTAATACCAGGGTTGTAAAGCCGCTTCGCGACTTTTCAACCCTGGCCCCGTCTCGGACCATGCTGTTTTTCCATTTGCATAATTGTCCTCTATTCAGAAGACACAAAAAAAAACTGATAAACAACCTCTTCGGCCTCTTTATATAGGGGACAGCTCACTTCCGGTCTATGCTAATAAACCTAACAAAGAGGTATTTACAAAAACCTAAATTTAATTGCGAAAATGGCTAATTTTTAAAAATCTGATATGTGTGCAGTGATCCCTATACCATTACGCACCTAATGACGTATCATACGTAGCCCAATCCCCGTCCCATCTTGAGAATCCTCGGGGACAGACATCCGGAAGTGGATGCAAAGTGGCACACACACACACACACACAAACACTATTTTTTTATATATAGTAGGATAGGATAATTCCTATTTTTCTAATTTTTTCCACTTTCTATTTTAATTCCAATTTTTAATTAAATTTAATTTGCAAATTATTTTCCAGCTTCAAAAATGCTACCTTTTTGGAGGTATCTCTATCGGCGCGTTGGCTATCCCCATTTGCCGTCTCCTCTTCCTGTTTGATCGGCTAAAATATGGAAATTTTAATGTTTAAAAATATTTTAACACTTGAAAAATCATCCAAAAAGTGTATTAAAGCTACCTTTTGTCCCCAATCATCCCCGGACAGGCTGATATCGGCCGGGTTGATCATCTGCTGCTGTTCCGCGTTCTTCTGCTGTTGTTGTTGCTGCTGCTCTTTCGCCTTTTTCAGGTCGATGCCTGGAACATTTTGTTAATTTTTAATTTCTAAATATCTTAAAAATTCACTGACAGACGGACTTTTTAAACCCCTAGAAATTACCTGATTGCCGTACCCAATAAACCCAATTTGATAGATTTTAATTTTAAACTTGAAATTTCTTAAAAATTCATCGAAAATAGACTTTTAAATCCCTGGAAAACGGCCTGATTACCGTACCTAAAATTTTCAACCATCAATGAGGCTAGCCAAAAACGTACTCTGATTTCTGGGAAACAATTTCCGGCAACATCTCGGCCTCAGCCGCTTCGAAATGGGTGCATCTTCCTCATTTTCCTCCCCATTTTGCGGCCGTTTCCTCGGCTTCATCATGGTCAATTTGGGGGTGGGTTCTGAGGGTTGGATCCACGCCGGGATCTCGATATATAGGGGGCCAAACGTGGGTTCAGCCATTTTCGGTGAAGCGGAAGCTTCCAAAGCAGGTGACGGCAACGCCGGAGAGCAATAGCCAGGTAGAAAGGCGTCTGGATGGACGATCGGGGGCTCTGAGAATGGGATATCTTCCCAGTGGCGGGGCTGAACGTCTCCAACTTGTTCTTCCACCTCCTCTTCCTCAGAAAATAGCCAATCGTGGAATGGTGCAAATTGGCCTCTCTCGTAGTCCTGTTCTGTCATTTCTTGGATATCAATAGGTAGATATCCATCAGTGGGCTCCTCTTCTTCTTGAGTAGGAGATGGACAGGATGGTCTATCAATATCCATCATCATTTCAGAGTTTTCTGAGGGTGTACGGAGGTGTATTCGTAGTCTGTCCCCCTCATCTTCTTCCAAAGGGAAAGAGAGTTCTGTAGTGAGACTCCAATTTGAGTCGGAATTTCGGAGACTGGGCTCTTCTCGATCGTTTAGAGTTGAGGGGAATGAATTGGAACGAGAGAATAGATTATGATTATGATGGTGATGATCTCGATTCATCGATGGAAGGAGAAGAATGTCTACGGTCATTTTCTGAAATGGCTTGGGTACTGTAGCTTTGAGAGGAGATGGAAAACAGAACAAAGAGACGAGTTCTGCATCATTCGAGAAGAAGGCAGAGAGTTACGGTAAGTGAAAAACTACGCGTTTTCCAGGGCCAGATAGCCACTATAAAAAGTATTATTATGGAAAATCAGCGTAAAAAGTACCGTGGAACTCGTAAAAGCACAAAAACGTAGCCCTAAAAATCAGAAGAAAAAGATGTATACGGTAGTGGGTAGAGTAGCAAGCCGGAAAACCGGAAGAAAACGGGAGAAACAGAGTACTGTCAAGAGTAAAGCCGCCGAAAAGAGTACTGTATCGGAACTTTTAAAGGGTATCGCGGCGGAGCCTTGAAAATCGGGAAAAAGAGGTTTACGGTAAGTAAGGTCAAGAGTAGAAAGCCGGAAAAACTCAAGAGTACAACGGAAACCGATTACTGTAAAGAGTACAGACTCGGAACATCAGCTCCAAATTATTGCAGAGTAACTATTAAATGGTATCGCTGCGTAGTATTCAAAGTTAAGACTACGGGACTACGGTAGGTAGGTAAGGCTTGGTGCCAGATGCGAGATCCGGGACCAACAAGTCCAACCCCTCACACCCACCCACCCTTTATATAGGAGGGGAAAGGGGGCGGAGACAGGCAAAAGAGAGAGAGAGAGAGAGAGAGAGAGAGAGAGAGAGAGATCCCCTCGGGCGGGCGGTTCTTTCCCGAATATTCGGCACCCCTCTCTGACAATCCTCCTCGAGGGGTCTCCTCCCCCTCTGTACACATGTGTACCCAGTGGGGGGCGAGAGAGTGATGTCATAGAGAGGGGCGAGAGAAAGAGAGGGAGAGAGGGGAGGGAGAGTGCATAGAGCAACCAATCCTAACCATGGTGCCTCCACCCTCAAAACACCCATTATAAGCCGGAATTTTCTGGAAATTGCTGGACTTATGGAAGCGGATGCGCTGATTCTAATCGTGCAAAAAGCGAATTGATATCGTATATATCTAAAGCGTTATTTTCAGTTTTTCGAGGGACTTTTGAAGATCTATTAAATGCTCCAGAAAGCTTCTCTGACACTAAAAGCTTTTCTGATTAAGGGAAACAGGTGCTAAATCCAACTCCCGATTCGCCAAGAATCTCTGCCAGCTTGCCATAGCCTTTCTACGTCAGATATCTTTTGACCACATCTCGCATAGCCCTCTATCTCCCTCCCCAATTGAGCCAGCCTCTCTCTCAATAGCCCTATTCAAGGAGGCACCATTTTTGAGCGAGAGATTGGAGGAGAGAGAGAGAAAGAGACGGGCGGATTATTGGTCAGGCAGGGGAGGAACGGGTCAAACCCACGTCATAGCGTCTAGAGGGCTGAGGGGGGGGGGGTACCATTGCTGGGGTATCCCCCCATAGAGAACGTTCAGCCGACATGAAGGCCAACCAATAATAATCAAAGGATGAGGGGCAACCGACAGAGATTCTTGTGGAAAAATGAAAATCGAAATAAGGCAGGCTAGCTGAGACCATTTTGGAAATGGCCTGAAAATCCACTACTTCAGAGAAAGAACTAAAAACTTTCAGTGAAAAATTCTGTAGGAAGTTGAAAAAACTCGATGTTGGGCAAACTAGCAGAGATTCGTGTGGAATTGGGAGAGCATGGTAGGGCAGCTAGCAGAGACCATTCAAGAATCACTTTTCAGAAAAATATCGAATTTTCCAACCAAAAATTAAAAATAAAAGATTTCCCAGGTTAAACTTCAAGTTTCAGCCAAATTACGGGCATACTAGCAGGTATTCCTCAGTATTTTAGCGTATTACCGTACCCCTGTCGTCTGTAGTCTACTATCGTTTTTGTTAGCCCATTTCACAATTCTCCGGACCCAGTTCCGAACCCGCTCCACGTTGTTGTGGCGTTCCATATTCCAGTGGGGTAGATCCGGTTCTCCCGGTATTTCTATGTGTCAATCGTAGCTTTTCGTTCCGAATGCACTCTCCTCCCCCTTTCCCCTTCCCCCCCTTCCATGGCTAACCACGTAAACAACCCCTTCCCCGTCCCGTTTGGATGTTCTCTGCTCCATCCGTCCAGCCGTACCCCAGTCCCCCCGCTTCAAAGAGTCACCATTTCGAGGCGGGCGAAAAGTTACAGCTAAACGTGGGTTTTGAAAGGATCAGAGAAATCGGTTCTTTGGCATTATCGGGGAGGGGGGGGGCTTTTTAATGATTCCATTTTTCTAACCTAAATAGAGAAAACGTTACTAAACTGCATTTTACTATTCCCAAATGTAAAAATTTTACAAAACGTTATTAGAAAATACAAAAAAAAAGACGCTTTTTCGACAAAAATCTCCAATTTTTGGCCATTTGTAAAGCCTTCTACACAGATTTTTCCTTCAAATATAGCTAAATTTAGCTACAAAAAGCCGTTAAAATACTAGATCAGAAACGAGGTAAAAAATCGATCCAGATCGGAACCCCCCCAATAACGGAGAAGTTCCAGCGGAAGTTTCTCCTGTATCAAATAAGATACCGTACCCGTCATTATGGCTAAAACTCGTTGAGAATTAATCTACTAAAGGATTGGCGGAATTATCGAACAATCCACTCCCCCCCGATAATGGAAAATACTAATCCAGCAGCTAATTTTCCCGTGCACCTAGTGAGATACCGTATTATCCCTGCCAAAGTATTTCCAAACGCCCCGTTTCGCAACATATGCTCATTTGCATATTTCATTGGCATCTCTGCCCTCCCCCAATTTCATCCATCCCCCACCAAAGGACACCATTTCGCAATGGCTAACTGGCCGAAATGGTGGCAGTCAACAAATAGCCCCAGGGCTATGGTGGGCTGATGGGTCTTTCGTATTGTTTTGGTTGTGCATTTGGCTGGGGTAGGGTAGGGTAGAAGGGTCCGTTCATGATTCATCGTCACGGGACCCCCCCCCCCACACCACCAGCCGGCCGATCGGACGGGGGGAGGGCTGCGCGAAGGGGAAGAAGTCATTTAGGGTGGAAGAGAGAGAGAGAGAGAGAGAGAGAGAGAGAGACAGACAGACAGACAGACAGACGGACAGACACAGCTCCGACATAACATACAAAAAGCCGCCAAGAGGATGGCTGACCCTGGCGAGAGAGAGAGAGAGAGAGAGAGAGAGAGAAATGGCCCATTCGAATTGGTGTGCCCTCTTCCGCTTTTTCACCATCCATCCATCGAGGCCTAGCCAGGGGCCGACCGGGAAAAACAGGCAAAAACTGGTGTGGGCTGACCACCACACCAACCCTCTTGGACCCCGGCCAAATGGCGGGAATTGGGAAATCGGCACGTAGCCCTCGAGGGGTTTGTGGTAAATTAAAGGGACCAGGAAGACAAGAAACCGGCGATTTTGCCTTATCGGGGGGCGCCATTTTTTTTCCTACAAGTCCAGAAAGTCTAGTAATATATAGAAGTGTCTTAACAGTGGTTTTATTCAATTTAACTATAGTTAAAATGGAAAAATAAAAAATTCAGGAAAAATTTTTACTCGATATTTTCATAAAAAATCGATATTTTTGTGTTTTTTAATCAATTCGTAAATTCGAAATCCACCAAACAGCCTTCAAAAATCCTATTAAGAGAATATGGTTGTATTGTGGGGTACGGTAAACCCAGCAAATGCATTTTAAAACATACCGAATTACCGTAATCCGACGCACAGACTTAAAAAACTACAGTAACCCCGCAAAAATAAAAACGCACGTTTATTGGACGGGCGACCCCGGGATCGACGCCATGGTGCCGACACGCCCAACTCCGCTTCGGCACGAGATTCCAGCTCACTAAAAGAAGAAATAAAATTCTGGCGGTCCCGGAAAAAGTGTACCTCCTCCTCTTGTTGATCTCCTTTCGGATATGATCAATATTCTCGGATATCATGATCTCATTCTGCTTCAGGTAGATCTTTCGAGCCCTAAAAACTTGTAAGAGGATACGGTAAAGAAATTACATTTTATATTTGGGCAATTTGTTGAGATGGCCCCTGTACCATCCATAGTGTTTATCCCAGCGGCATACTTGCGAGATCATCGATTCCAGCACCTAAATTAAAAAATAAATCTATTTCATAAACCTAAATAATTGGAGAATGAATCTCAAAAATAATTTTAGGTCTTTTGCATTATTGGATCGAACAACTTTTTTCCCAATCAGTCGAGAAATGCCTATTAAAGTCATATTAATTGCTTTAATTGAGCATTTTAAATACAAAAAAAATAGAGGTTTTTAGTCGGTATTTTGGTCAAAAAACGATTTAAAATACAATTTGTAAAGTCTTTACGTTCAAGGATGTGAAAAAAACCTTGAAACACCTCTGCTATTTATATTTGAAAAATTTGGGCCCCAGAAAAAGTTGGTCTCCCCGATAATACGAAAGAACCTAATAATATTCTAACGGAACTGTGGCGTTATCAGGGGGGATAGTTTCGTAATTTTTGTATATTCCAAGTGTAGAAAATGCTCAAAAAAATGTGGCCATTTTAGTCGAAAATTGAATATTCTGTATTTTTACGAAAAGGCTAAAAACCTACCAATTTAATGCATTTCGTATCGGACGAATCGTTGGGCCGAGGCTGCAGATTTTTGCATAAATGCTCGGGAAAAATCGGGGCTTCGACGATTCTTCTGGAGAGCATTCCTTGGCCGGCGTGTGGAGGTCGAGAAGAGGATTGAAGGAGGGAGGATGAGGCGGATGACATTCCTGGGGGCTTCATCTCACCTCTAAAGAAAACGGGAATGGAAAATTTATAAATTAACGTACCTTCCCTCTCCCATCGCATCATCCACTTCAAAATGGACGCTACGGTCCGGGTTGTGGCGTCTGGAAAAAAAAGACAAAAAAAAAGTTTTACGTGTGGTAACTGCTTAAAAAAGTTCATTTAAGGGGCTAGAAATCAAAAAAATAGCTTTCGTAATTGTTTAAAAATTGGCATAAAAACCCACAAAGTAATTGGTTACAAAAATTCGCCAAAAAACCAACTTTTGTATGCGATCGTAGAGATTGCGTCTGGCTGCAAAATCTCTATAGGCAGCAGCGGGTGGCCTCATAATTGGTGATTGCATCGATGGAGGCGCCATCCCATATCGACGGATACCGCCCTGAAATTAAAATCACTGAAAAAAGCTAGAAACGCACCCCAACAATGCGCGACTGGATGCCCATCGGGGGTCTAATTTGTGCGAGACGCGTCTCGGGGCCAGAGAACGGAGCCACTTCCATCCGCTTCATAAATGGATCATCCACGAAGCGGCTCATCTAAAAACGAAGAATATTTTTTTAATAGCATTTTAATAAAATTCAGCTGTCTTTAAAGCCGAAAAACCACTTAGATTGAAAATTGTGTAAAAATTTTAATTTTTTTGGTCGAAAATCGAGATTTTCGTATTTTTAAACTGGTTTTTGCGAAATTTTTGCGTCTAGGAATACTACAAAACACTTTTAAACACGTTTTACCTGTTGTGGTCGATGCATTGGTGGTCGGAATGCGTTTGTAGTCAACGTCCTCACTGTCGTCGTCCCGAATGGCCGACTTTGTAGACCGCCGGCTGTCGTGCGTTGGCCCATTCTAAAAGGAACTTTAGCTACTTTTGACTGATATTGCTAGAAAGCTTAATTTAATAATAAAATTCAAGAACTTGATTCATTCACCATTTGAGATCGGATGATC